AGGAAAAAAAAAAGTGCGGGCCCTGCTTGGCACCTCCCAACAAAAAGGCGATTTCTATTCCCTGAGCCCGGAGCCGCTCCTAGAAACCCAAGGCGGCCTGGGAGGGCGCCGCAGACTGAGCCTCGCTGAGCTGCGCGCTTGAAGCCAACACTGCCTGAGAGTCACAGCTCGGGTGAGAGCTGCCGGGTTCTCTTCGGGATTAAAGCTGTAGGTCACTGTAGGTTCATTGCTCTACGGTTTGGGGCAAAGGATTCCAGGCACCTCTTGCCTCGCTTAGCTTCACTGTTTCGGCAAAGGCGAATGGGTTTGAGGCACTTCTCTTGAAGAGACCGATGGATATGATAATCGGTGCAAGATAGTCTGAAGCCTCTGCGGCTTTGATCCTCGATTGGGTGAGGAATGTTCCCGGCTTGGCGCAGTTGTGCACCAGCTTTGCCCTACGATAGCCACGGCAGTCATGTTGGACGTGCGCATGGGTGCGTGGGTGGGTGGATGGGTGGATGGGTCGGTGTGGGTGTGTCTGTGCGCTGTGTGGGTGGGTGAGCCGGTGGATGGGTGGGTAGGGGTGGCTGGGATCACAGGGAAAGCCTGCACTTGTGGGCGCACCGAAGTTATGCTCTCTGTAAACTTAACACCCAAGCCTTCGAACCTTGAATGACCAGGACCATGTGCTTCCCAAAACCCCAAACCAAAACTCACCTCAGACCATCATCACATGCCAAGTGTTTCCTGATCCCCTACACCCGGCCTCAGCAGCGCTGCGCATCACTGCCTGGGGAAGGAGCTGCTGCGCCGAGGGCTCCTCCGACCAGATTCGATTTCGAAGGGCCATGGCGGTGAGCCTTTTCCGAAGACAATGCCGAAGAGGAAGTCCGGAGAAAGGTTCCGAATGCTCGTGGCAAAGAAACATGCATTGCTGGGGCTCTTGCCGCAAGCAGGACCGACAGGAACTGCGACGCCTGATATGAATCCGCGCGCACAGGCTTCGCTCCAGTTGGTTGAACAGTCGGCTATTCAGCTGTTTGCCAGCAATGCTGCGATCAGGTATCAACTACTGAAGCAAACCTTGGTCAGAAACTGGACTGTGCAAGCAGGAGCACTTAGCGCATCTCTCAGCACAGCACGGCCACATCTCAGATGACTCGGTTTAGGGCAAGAAACCCATCAACACTCCTGAAAGCTCTTCAACGCACGAAGACCGGCCTTGAGCAGCAGGTTCCAGTTGCTCTGATGATTGACGAAGACAGCTATTGCAGCCTGCGCCATGGAAGGAGTCTCGCAGGAAATCCCATACGCGAGGCTACTCGGGCCGAGCCCTTTCTGGTTCACTACGATGGAGCAGATGGTGCACCTGACTTGGGGCCTCATGAGCGCACAATCCCGACACTTTTAACTTAAAATCCTTTCGGCAAAGAAGACGAACCCACGGCGCTTCCGTCGACAAGACACCAAAGTGAAACATGGTGGTGGTATTCAAGTGGTACGAGGTTTCCTCCATGAGCAGTAGCTCCGCTTCAGTTCTAAGACCAGTAAAGGTTGCATTTGCACAGGCACTATCTACAGATGGGGCCGGGATATCATTGTTACTGCACGGCATGGACCCTGCACCCGTGAGGGAAAATTACAACGCAGACCCCCAACAGTAGGACAAGAAATATCAATCAAACTCAGAGGGGTGAGTGCGCAGCCGGCAAGCGCATCAAGCGCCGCACAAGCCGAACGAGATGCCAAGGCTGCAGAATATGGAGGATGTAGACTTCAGAAGTCAGAGACAAAATAATACGTACACGCAAACGCACAGACAGACGGACAGAGGGACACAAACATTCACCGGCAGCATTGGGCATGACGACTTTTCGAGGCATGGCTGGCAGTCTTGCACCGCCAGCTCTTCACACGGCTTCTATCAGTACACGGCGTGCGTCTAGTTGCGCACGAACAGAGCTCTCGCTCTACAGCGAGCTAGCGCGCCCACCGTCGAACCCCATCGACAAGCACGCAGCCAGCTGCAGTTCCGCTGCCAGCATCTCAGAGCCACCCCTAGATCTGGTTCTTAAGCGCGGCCAGCGGCATCGCTTTCACAATCGTCTTCGCCTGCAGAAAGCTTTGGTAGCAAGCTGCCGTTCAAGCTGCCGTGGTCGCTAGATACCAGCGTTCCCACCTTCTGCGCCTTGACCTGCACCTCCTGCGGCAAAGATCGGATGCTCTGAAGCTGAAGCCACTTCACAGCTCATAATGTCTTCAGCTCGTCACCCAGTGCTCGCCTTGCCGAACATCATGCGAGTACCACCCTTCGTAGCAGCCTTCTGACCTTGCAGCTCAGGCAGACCGGCACGCGCGTACTCTTGCCCAACTGGCTGTGGCACTAACTGCAATCAACCGCCTGAAGTCAAAGGCATGATGGAATCAACCCAGGCGCGAGTCTTGATCATGCAGAGCCCTGGCAAAACAAACCTCAGATGGACAGGAGAACATGTTGAAAGATGCTGCCTGAGCATGGAAGTGAGCATGCTAGTGTCCAACAACAAAATCTAAATTACAGGCAAGGCACTTGCCGGTGTTGGTGACCTCGCTGGCACCGATTTCGGAAAGGTTCTGCAGGACCGACAAGACATCCTTCTTCTTGAGCTCGGACTTGGTGGCGAGCTGGTCGGCAAGCTGGGCCTTGGTCATGGCTTTGGCACTGGTCTTCATGGCCTTGGACTTCATCGCGGACTTCATTGCCGGAGCCATGTCTTGCAAGTGGGTTGGACGAACGTCAAAGGCCTTGTGAAAGCTTGAGCAGCGAGGACTGAGAGCGAGTCACAGGTGGAGAATCAACATTCCTAAGCCTCACATCTGCAGATTGCAGTCTGGG